CAAGTAAGTTCAGGATGGATCGAACACGGGTTCAAAATTTCGAAGCCGAGAAACATCAACGTCTTCAGCAATGGGGTCACGGTACACGGACCGACGTCATTCGGTGGTTTTCGGAGAGCCACAAACACCTCAGTAACTCCATCCAGCTCCAGTGACTCCAAACAAGCCACGAAGACGTTTTTTTGTTTCCCGAGTGAAGAAGAATCGGAACAAGAGGGAAATATGACAGCAATCTTCGGCTCATTGATGCATGCAATTAACAGCGCACACGGGGGCAAGCATGACCGGTAAGAATCAAGTGCCTTCTTGATGTTGGCAGTGAAATATGGGAGATGAACAACGTAGCTGTCACTGACTTTTCCGGTCGCGCCAATAACGTTCCACCCCGACCCAACGGTGACCTCCGAGCATTCCGGATCGCTTTCGGATTGTGAATCAACTGACTGGGAGCTCGAGGTGTGCCGTATGACCTTCCCTGACCAGTGCGCATCGAAGGGTGAGGCGAGCGCACCACCCGAGAAGAGGGAGGGTAGCCTGGTACCCGGGAAAGAAACATCAAATATAGGGCCGAGGCCAGATGCCGATACTAGTTTGAGATTGACAACTGTCCGACATAACGCCCGTGCGCTCCACTACAGAACAATCGCAAGTGTGCCCTTCCAACGAATATATTGAGAAGTTGTTTATACGAGATTGGCTCGTATAGTTTGGACCAATCAAATTATGGTCGTGAGACTTGGCCTGCTTCTTATTGGCTATACTTAGCCTCGGGCTGTCAGCATGTCGACCACGCAAGGCCGTGTGTCTATTGCTACTGGGTATGCTACAGGCGTTGGTTATGCGTTTTGTAAGGTATATCGACCCAACCAGGCGGAGTAGGGAAGGGGAGCATCGCAGTGTCTCCCTTCAGTTGTCGGGCTGTGGCTAGTCTTCAGTGTTTCTCAAAGTGTGGTCCGTGGGCTACTGTCAGGGAGTCCGGAGGATTTCCCGTAATGTTATACTTGATAGAAAGTTTTCCGGACGTGATCATTATATGTTACAGCCTGATAACCAACCTTAGAAAATCTGTTAAATCTTATATGACGGTCTACACTATCCTTGTGTATACCCCATGTAAAACACCCTCTAAGTAGTAACCTGATTTTGGCAGGGACTGAAAATGTGTGAAGGAAGCTGTCAAAGGTTAGAAAGGTCTCACCGCGCAAGCTCACATAACCTAGGCGTTGTCCCTCGTGGGAGTCGCAAAGTTACTCATTTCGAAAGTTGCTTTCCTCCAAATCGACAAACCAGTAAGAGTGACTCATTGATGTGATCTCAGCCACGGAAGCCCAGAAGGAAAGCGAGGGTATTTCAGTATTTTACGATTGTGCTCATTTGATGTCGCGAACTGAAGGGAAACTATCTCCACCTTTACAAAAGGTTGGCTGTTGTGTTTATCATCTACTCCATTCAAAATCCAACTTAGTATAGTAATCAAATCCGTGGTATAATCTAGATTCTTGGGTTGAATTCTTTGTTCCCATTTCAGCATATGGATATATAACATCAACCTGGACCGTTGGCTGAAAACTGGAATGCTGCTAAATACGTCACAGAAATATTAATCGTCGAATTCAAATGTATTAATGGTTGGGACATGTAATGTGTCTTCTGAGAATGTAGAAACCGAGACGTTCGATGTACCTGTACTACGTGATGCGATGCAACATGAATCATGTCCAACCGTAGCTTCTATAAGCGACAGAAATACTACTACATTTATCTTTTGTATTTACCCAGTCTAACAAGGGCCCACAGTGTCTAACGTGACAAACTTCTTCCGAACAGTTCCATGGTTCTTGTACAAACGCAGCGGCATTTTGAAAAAGTCCATGCGGATAAGAAAGAATGATAAGAGGAGTACTTTAAGCGCAGGCGAGAGGAACTGTTGAACACCTGAAAGTAAATGCTCCATACCTCTCGGACTATGAATGAAAAGGTTACTGGAACCTACATTGTTGGTTATCTACCTACCTACCTAGGTTCAACAGCTTTCCTTTTTTTACTAACAATAATGAACTTCTGTGTTAATTCAGTGTCCAGTAATGAAGGTTTCCAGGAAGTTCTGCGTCATTTGCATTTTATTAAAACCTAGTCCTGTGATAGACACTACGTCAGGGAGTCCTTCTTGCGAGGTGCCACTGCAAAGGGATCCACGGGCCAAAACGTTTAGGTGCCCCTGCTCTGAGGTAGACCGCAAATCATAGAACAATTAAGCCTCAGAAGTAGGTTGGTTTTATGACACCAGTATTCTCCACGCGATGTCATATCCTGATGTATACGACGATAGTACTTATTGCTGGTCGCATTAGTACACTCGTATCTGTCATAGTAATCGCCATGTGACTGCTTTCGGGTATCTCCCAGTCAGCTCCTTACAAGTAGGACTAGTAAATACCAATTCTAACCAAGGTTTGTAATCGAATACGGACATCAGGCCAACGAAGTCGAACAGGGCTGACCATATTCCAGGGGCTACAAGAAGACGTGGACCGATGAGACGCGACAGTAACCAGCGTCAGCACAGTAACTCATCGAGCAAGCGAGTGCTAGCGGAAATGGAAGAAGAGTGACAGTCAATAAAACAAAAACTGATATTGCACTATCGCTTGGTAGCAAAAATGTAGTTAGTAGCAATGTTCAGGTGAGACTGGCACGTGTTGGACTAGTAAATACTAGTGCGAGAAGATGCGCGTAATCGAGCGCAGATATCAGAAGACAACTGAAGTCAGACATAGCGGACTATATTCGATGGGCTCCAAAAAACGTGGACGGATGAAGCGAGACAGGAGCAAAATTTAACGGGACAACTTACTGAGTAGATGAGTGTCGAGCCAGATGTAAAGGAGAACAAAGCCCGAAAGATTAATGTGCAATTGGTCAGCAATGAAATTGTACGTAAAGGATAGTAGTTATCTTGTTGGCTGCTAGAGAGCTCCCCTTAAAAGGCTGAACAGCTGAAGCCTTCGATGTCGAAAATGATGTGCGAATCAGGGTTCGTATTGCAAAAGCGTGCAGAATAAGGAAGGATGACTGAGCGATCATATTAAAAAAGGTTCGTCGGAAATTGGAGTCTACTGTGCCGTTTGTTATTTATTATTGATTGATTGCAGGGCTGGGTGCATTTCGGCGGGCCGTTGGGTGAGCTTGTCGGAGTTCAAAAACTGGCTAGCCCCGAAAATAGGCTGGCAGGACCTTAACCTCCGCTGCTGCGAAACGGTGCGCTTGGGGGTGATCTCTCTTCCCGCCTCACCCCGTCCGGCACCAAAAGGACCCTCGTCCTAGGAAGAACATCCAATTTTCTAGCTTGGCTTCTTCTTAACTGTGGCGATCACCGAACACGGCGTTCTTGACGGCCAGTCTCTAGAGTTAGAGGGTTGGTTTATTTATGAAAAAACGAAGAAAAACGTACGTAGAAAACCGAAAACGATTAAAAATACAACTACGGTGCGTGCAATACTGCTTAGGTTTTTTTTAGATTTTCGAAAGCTTTTGATTGTTCTTATTTTTTAAACGTTACTCTGTCAAAAGATTGGAGTGAGTGCATGCAATACTTACAAATCTAAGTGTAGTTTCACTGTACGCAGTCGAAATAACGAACGGGCTTACGCATCTCCCGAGCATGGCAACTGGTCGTAGGAGGTGACCGTCTTGCAGTAGACAATGACATCGGAACGACCCTAGCCGGTGAACAAATATCGGTACCCGCTGCATAAATGCGACGTGTTTGTAACGTAGAGCGATTATTCGTAGCGTCGCACGTAGCGTTCGAAGCAGTCATAGGCTCAGTGGCATCATCGATGACGGGTGGTTTGAGGCGATCGGTGTCGACGACTTCGTATCGGCCACCGCGGTCAGCGGTGTACCTCTTATTCGTACGCTGTAACACTGAAGGGTCCTATATGTGGCAACTGAAGAAGCTGTGGAACACCGACTGCGCGGAGAAGGACGTGGGAACATGTAGACAGCTTCTCGGGCACGTACACTGGTGTCTTCTGCCATCGAGGCGCGGGCGGACGTGATTCACGCATTTGGTGAACCAATCGGTCTGTATAACTTCCGTTGTGAGAGGAGGAAATAGTCTGGGAATCGTGTAGTCGTAGACTAGCTGCGCTGGTGTTGCGTCAAAGTCTAGGAGGGCGGGAGGAAGTGTTTCAGACCATGAAGGATCTGCGTGCGCACGTAGGGCCGTCTTCAACTGATGATGAATGCGCTTCACCATGCCGTTAGTGGCCGGATGATACGCTATCGTCTGAAGATGGCGACAGCCTATATCCTTAAACAAGGTGGCAAAAGTGGACGAGAAATATAACCCACGAGCACTGATCACAATGACGGGACAGGCGTACTGAGCTACCAGCCCTCTAAAAATGTCTTTGGTGCTGTTTACGAAGAGTAGTTCAAAATCGGAGTAGCCTCTGGCCACCTAGGGAATCGGTCGACACAGTTCAGCAGACACTCCGAAGCTTTCGAAGGCGGCAGAGCGCCTACAAGGTCGAAGTGCACGTGCGTTTGGCGTCGAAAGGTGCTTAATGGGCTTCTCGTATGCTGGTGCACCTTCGTTCGTTGACACGGAAGGGAAGCAGCTGCCAAAGTACGAACGTCGCGACTGGAGTTGCGCCAGAAGAATCGTGCGGTTAAGAATTTATCCGATGCAAGTACGCCTGTATGGGGCAAGCCGTGCAACGTGTTCAACACGGTCTGTCGAAGCTCGTTTGGGACGACTGAGGGCGGTGTACCCAGAGATAAACCGTAAACTATGATCCCATCTGATCAGGTCAGTGGACGGTGGCGTAGACCCAGTGAGGGAGACCTTCGTAGTAGATCAGCCTCATGATCATTGAGTTGTGCTGCTGCTGTGGCTACCAGGTTAATAGCAGTGCTGCCATCAGCGGAGATCGCTTGAATTCAGAAAAGTGCATCGGCGATGACGCTGTGCACACCTGAGATATGTTTTAGACTGGTCGTAAACTGAGCGATATAGTTAAGGTGGCACGAACCTCTAGGAAAGTATCAATCGGTAGTCGAGCTGAGAACGTAAGTTCGGTGACTACGGTGAAAGAGCGGCCTTCTAAAAGCTGTTGAAAGTGGCGTATCGCTGGTATATGGCTGTAGCGATGTTCGGTAGGTTGTATGCGTTTGGACGAAAACGCTAAGGACTGCCAGGTGTCACCTACACGTTGTTGCAAAACAGCGCTGCCTGACACGTCCGAGGCGTCAGTACTGAGGGATAGTGGGGTGGTCGGGTCATGGTGTGTTACAGAAGCTATGTTGGCGATAGCCTCTTTTAGCGACTTAAAAGCAGCGCGTACAGCGATAAGAAATTCGAACTTCTTGTGTTTCCCTCGAAGAAGGTCCGTGAAGAGTGAGATATGCGACGCGTCGGTAAAAGTTACCAAGCCCATCAAAACGTTTAAGGCGTTTACAAGGATGAGGCTTGGGGCAGTCGATGAGGGCTTGAGTTCTACCCTACAGTGACTCGACGCCTGCAGAAGAGAAGCCATACCACGGCCTAGGAAACTGGCCGAACTGACACCAAACGAACGCTTTTCTTATTTGATCGTCACCCCGTGTTGAGAAAAACGAGCGAAAGTATTCGAACAGGGCGCAAGTGCATTTCTGGTGAAGAGCTCGCGATCGTGATGTCGTTGAGATGAGCGTAGGCGAAGTCTAAACCCCGACAAATATGATCGATGAGGAACTGAAACCTTGTGCGGCATTCCTTAGACCGAACGACATGTGTAGTAATTCGAACAAACCAAATGGAGTCGTCACGACAGTTTTGGCGATGTCCGCTTCGGCTACCATAATTTGGTGGTATGCGCGCACCAAGTCGATTTTACGGAAAAGTTTACATTTGCGCCAGGCTGGCGGTGAGATCCACGATATGTGTGAGAGGATAGCGATCAGGCATGGTCATGTTGTTTAGGTTACGCAAGTCTCCACAAGGACGCCAGCCCACTATTTTCTTCGGAACCATGTGGAGAAGTGACTCCTACGGGCTGTTTTATAATAATAATAATAATGATAATAAGAATAATAATTATATTAATAGCAATAATAATAGGTATATTTCTCTTCAAATAACAAGCCGAGTCCATATTTAGCGCAGATCAAATATGTACTGGTAATACCGTGTTCTGGCATGGGAAATATGAATTTGTGGCGAATAAAAACAAAGTATCTCTCTCGTTGGTGTGAGGTACGGTCCAACTGGATATTACGAATTTTGGTGTAAGGCAAAATCGCAAGAAGCAGAGTATATTTTTCGAATTTCGCAAAGCAGTCTTCATACCGTTTGGCGGACATGACAAATTGGTCGATTAAATATTTCGGTAGGATTGTGAGGTGTTAAAAGATAATAAGTGTAAATAAATAAAACGTAGAAGTGGAGTAATACGACCATTACTTGGACCATCTCCTAGGGACGTGCTTCTATGCGGGTTATTATTTCCATGAATTTCACTCCCACTTTCATGCGCCATCTGTCCGTGGGCTGGTGTGGTTTTTAAAACAGGTGAGCCATCACTTACGTAACTCATCTTTAGGGCTGTTTTTTGTATATAGTGTGAACAGTCGAGCCACCTAGCCCATATCATCGGCTGTTTGTTTGAGTAAAGCACCTTCTTATCGCCAGGAAACCAACGGCAATACGCTTTGCTTGAGTGTTATGAGTGTTATTATATGAGTGTTATTAGCTTTGGAAGCTTAAAGTGCGTCGCCTCAGGAGATCGACCTAGTCGTAGTCAACAGTGAAGTAAAGAAGAACATAAAATATGTTGCTCAAAAGAGTCCGGCCAAATTGTACAGGAAAAGTGTCAAAAACGGATGACCGCTCGTAGGATAAGTATGCCAGACAATTCTGAAAACATTTTCAGATTCATCATTTGCTTGCGTTCGAAAGTACAGCAATTGATAGCACTGAGCAATGAGACTTGTTCTCTGATCCTTGACTGTCGCTTTTGCGACAGAAAAAGTAATATGTAACATTGCGGTAAGGGTGTAAAAAGTGGTCATAAATAAAAACTAAATGAATAGTTTATGTCTCGATATTGTGGGACACGGACTGTAGGGTTAATCCGATCATATTTGTAATCGAATCGTCAAGTTGCGTTTGTGTTCAATCCGAACGGGGCAGCCGAGGTGGGTAGGGAATGATTTTGACAGGTTTCGATACTCGCTCCGCAATTTGTTTGTTGATTCCTCCGGACAGAAAAGAGAGTTAGAAGTGCAGAACAAGGTTATTTTATGAACAAAAATGTCGTAGAGGTGGGTTGACTACGAATCAGAGAATTTTGTCATTTGCTATATGACACTCGGCCCTTCCTCATATAACATGGCCATACTCACATCTATGTTTAGTATATCCTGCACTTTATTCACTGTAAATTCCCTGTTAACTTGAGTACGAAAAACATGTTTTGAGTCACACGTTCTCAGATTCTGCGGTAGTTTGTTCCACAGCGGTGCATAGCGGTTAGGAAAGAAATTTGATCTTAAGCTAGTTCTTACCTTTTCGATTTGTAACGTGCTGTCTGTATTCCTTATGCTGTACTTGAGGGAAGGTTGAAGTACAACCTCAGTATCTGAGGTAAAGACGCGTTTATGGATTATATCAAACATGAGGTTCAGATTAAATTTTAGTCTCCTTAACCAGAGAGGTTCTATGTTCATCTCACAGCAATGATCATGGTAGATAAAATCACCAGCGTTTCTAATTAGACGCTTCGTAAAGTATCACGGTGCATTTTCTATGGATGTTCCATCATTTTTCTTAGATTGGAGTATAGTAATGATTAGTATTCGAGTATGGGACGAATACGGGTTTATACAGGTAAATTTTCGATTTATTTAAAATAAAGGTTTTTAGTATTAGCCCACCTAGTTTACGGGCTTTTGCAAACGTTTACTGTACCTGTTCGATGAATGTGAAGGAGCTCGAGTAGTTTATCTCGGGATCACGAATGATTTTCATATGATTGTGTGAGGACATGGAAGACGTCGTTGACGTGAAACTGGTGGCAGTAGGTTTTGTCCCCTTTAATCTTTAGCTGGACAAACAGACTAGGTCGCTCACTGCTTCATATTTTATTCCATCTCACCCAGCTTCTGATGGCAAAATTAGCGGTGGGAGCTAAGTTAAATTAGGCATTACAAGTGACCGTCGTGCCTGTAGTACTACCCGGTTTTACCCTTATTCATCTGACATTTTTGTTTGTCAAACGCTTGCATATCTTGCGTGAGAAAAGCTCCATTATTACAACCGTAAACAGGAGTTTCATGAAAAAGAAAGTGTCACCAGCCAAGCTACTGCGTTGACCAATACCACAGCGGTCACAATAGGCGTTAACAATTCCACTCGTTGCAGTACACAGTACAACATTGAATACTATGGATCTCAGGACAGAATAACTGAACTTGCAAACTCTGTGAGAGATTTGCGAGAAAGCTTGACTGCTGTTAGGCCTCTGGTTCCTAGATGGATTCACATTTCCGCCTAACTAACCCACTTCCTAATCCGTCATCCGACCAACTAGATATCGCTGGTAGCTTTATTTCCGTGCTTTCCACAGTGGTGTCTGAACGGATTAACCGTGCAAGAAACCTTATGGTGTTTAATGTCCCAGATAGGCTACATCTGAAGAAGCTGAAACACTTACTACTAAACACCACCTAGCTTCAAAATGAAGAGTGCCTTGCGGTATGTCTAAAGAAGAAGAGCTTAAAGTAGACGTGCCCGGTGCTACTGAAATCCCAAAAAATTGGGAGCGCAAAATTGTGAATGCAGAATATGTCAGTTATAAGAGCGGCAACTGAACTTAAGAATGCAGTTATAAGGTCAGATCAGACACCACTTGAGCAAATGCATGCGCCTGTTCCAAAGAAACAGATTAACGCCCCTGGCCCTCGCCAACTTACGAACTGCATCTGATGACGATTTGCAAACGAATGTTCACTACGCACCTGGAGTAGATGACTCCGCCGCTACGGCTGACTTGCTTCCAACACAAGCGGTCTTCAGTAACAATGTCACTCCAACCCAGATATTTAGTAATATCACAGTTAGTACTACCCCGACGGATTAATTTCTAACTCCGAACTAATCCACAGATTTACCTAGATGGCGCTCAAGTTCTCAGTCTATCGTTGACACAGACGGCGCCGGCCTAGACAACATGATCAGCATCAGCCCCACACAGGATTCACTCTGGAAGCTGATGCATAGCAAGAAAATTCGTAGCGCCTTCGACACGCGCTGCAGATCTAACAACACCAACAGAGCTACTTCCACTAACACTACCAAGCTAAGGAACTCGACACCTCAGAGCACACTCATAGCCTTTAAACTTCGTGATACTTTAGCGCCAAACAAAGTATTAGATTGTCTTACGCAATACTCCAATATGAAAGGATTATTAGCAACAATCCGGCTAACACAAAGACGAACCCATTATCCGCCTTATGGAGATCTTTCTTTCTGATTCCTCTGCCATGAATTCCTTGCTAAACCAGTGCGCTCGACTCCGTCGACTGACACCGTATAAGAACCTAACATTTAGACATCCATCTACTTATAGATCAATAGGCCAACGGACTATGTTTGCTACGTTACCAACTATCACAAGCCTGAGATAGACGGCTTCAAATTGTATCCCAAACTACAGTCAACCATTTGAACCCCATACATGACAAGCTCTTCTTTTTAGGTTTATCGGCGGCTACACGGCCGACAACCCCAATGAATCAACAGGTCTTGCAATTCTTCCAATAGATCATCAACTTAGCCCAAACATGACTGAAACCAGCGGCGTGTACTGCGACTGTACTCCCGCATTTCCTCCACTACATGGGATGATGCCCTTTGTCCAATCATATAAAACAGTCAGTAAACCTGCCTAAGAAACATGGCTGTATTAGATTGCTTCTCTTAAATGCTCGGTCCCTAAACAACAAAATGCACCATCTACGTGCCTGACTGTTTCTCTCTTGTCCTGACATTGTACTTGTCACGGAGATTTGGAAAAACCAACGTACTTCTGATACCCACTTTTGCATCCCGATCTTCCGCAGCTTTAGCAGTAGTCGCATATCCCGCCGTGGTGGCGGTTGCCGCATATATGTAGACAATAAGCACAATGTAGCTTCTGTGTGCGACCCACTTCTAGATGGCCTTGATGAATCTCTTTGGATTAACATTCAAATAAAATGCAAAACCATCCTCATTGCATGTGTGTACAACCCACCACACTGTCGTAAATCGGATATCGATCGCCTCGTGGGAGTCATCTCAGATGCCTCAGAGCAATCGGCAACTCAGCAAATTAATGGTGAAGACTTTAATACGCCTGAGATTTCCTGGAACCCAGCATGGTCTCCATTAAAGTTTCCGCAGTTTGTTTCAACAGTCAATATCTTTGATTGGATTCAACAAATGTCATCTCCAACATGAGGTGAACACTAGCTAGACCTAATCCGTAAAAAATACAAAGTCTTAGAAGCAAAC